GTAGACAGACAGACAGACAGACAGACAGACAGATAGATAGATAGATAGATAGATAGATAGATAGATAATTCTATACAAACTTTCAAATTGATATTTGATTAAACTTTTTTTTTAATGTCCATTAATGCACTTTGGGTAAAAGCATTTCCTAGTATCACTTAAAGCAGGACACTAATAAAACAGGCTTTTGTGTAAAGCTATTGTTTCACATCAAAATATTTAATTATAATTATATTATGTCACACACACACACACACACACACACACACACACACACACCTGTCAGGGAGCCGTCTGCTATCAGGTCCTGCAGTCTGCCAATAGCATCCTGACATGAAAAAACATGTCAACAATCATCTAAAGGCACCAGTATGTGTTCAGAGGTCAAAGGTCAGCTGAGGTTTGCTATGAACACTGACCTGTGTGCGCATGCTGAAGTGGGACGCCAAATCCTCCAGCAAAACCACTTTAGACTTCTGAACAGACAGAGAAACAGTCATAATCCAGGATTCATCTCACAAATGCAAAATCTACACTCTCTGTATAAGACGTAACAGGTGCTGCTAATAAATATGCTGAGCAATACAGGATTCAAATCAACTCCATAAAGTTCTACACATTTTCACTCAATTTCTGTTTAAAGTTTATTATTTTGAAACACATTTGAATGTAACCTAAATTTTGACTCATCCAAACAGACTCATCCAAACTAAAGACTGATTCATTCATTTAATGAAGTGCATTCAGTTGCAAATAAAAAGTATCTTAAAATATAAAAAATAAATTCAAATATCTTCCATTCATAAAGTATTTAATTTACTGCATTACCAAGAAAAGGCATTAAACCAATATTTACTATATACTATTTCCGTGATATAAAACTAGTTCTGCTCTAGCTGACAGTGTTGTTTGCTCTCACAAATATGAACGCCGCAGCTTTAAATCTGAATGCATGTGTTACCTCGACATACTGGATGAACTCCTGCAGCAGGTTGCGAGACTGAAAAACACATCAACATGAGATAACTAATAATGCAGTGGAAGTAAAGCAGATGTGGTGAGCGCGCAGGAAGAGAGACGCACCTCGTGCTCGCTGAACTCCTCTGCTTCTCCCTGATCCTCGATCACAAAAGACTCCTTCAGCCGCAGGTACTCCTCCTCCTCCTTCCGCTCCTGCTCCTCCTTGGCATGCTGTAACTCCTCCTCCTGAGAAAGAGAGGAACGTACAGCTTTGGGAAACATTTACACTTATTTAACCATGAGTGAAACATATAAAGCAGCTCTGACACGGTGGACTGATGACTGATAGACGATATAAAGCCCATATACACTGCCGTTCAAAAGTTTGGGATCAGTAAGACTTCATGTTTTTAAAGAAGTCTCTTCTGCTCATCAAGGATGCATTTATTTGATCAAAAATACAGAAAAAAAACAGTAATCTTGCAAAATGTTATTACAATATAAAACAATGATTTCTATTTTAATATCCTTTAAAATATAATTTATTTCTGTAATGCAGTGCTGAATTTCCATCATCATTACTCCAGTATAAAGTGTCACATGATCCTTCAGAAATCATTCTAATATGCTGATTTATTATTAGAATTATCAACAGTTGTGCTGCACAATATTTTTTGGGGGAAAATGCAATACTTTTTCAGGATTCTTTGATGAATAAAAAGTTAAAAAGAACAGCATTTATTCAAAATATTAACCTTTTCTAACAATATAAATCTTCGCTATCACTTCTTAACAATTTAACACATCCTTGCTGAATAAAAGTTTGAATTTCTTTAAACAAAAAAAGAAAGAATAAAAATGTACTGACCCCAAACTTTTGACCGGTAGTGTATATTGTTAGAAAATATTTCTATTTTAAATAAATGCTCCTTGCTGAATAATTTCTTTAAACAAAAAAAGAAAGAATAAAAATGTACTGACCCCAAACTTTTGACC